ATATATACACACACACACACACACACACATATATATATATAAAGCAACACACAATACCTTATTTTCTAAATTAAATGAATTACAATTGTTGATGAAAGAAACTCTGTCTACCACATTAAATGCACTCATTGGCTTAAATTAGCATTTTTATTTTAATAATATTAAAACATTTAAAAAGTACATTTTAGGACTGAGAATATATATTCATATCACGACAAATGCCATGTACATGGAATCTAGATACTACATGCCATTTTCTCTATCACCCTTCATATTGATAACTAACATTTATTAGACAGTTACTATGGGTCAAGTACTTTATAAGCCTTACTTCATTTAATCCTCCCAACTCTGTGAGGTAGGTATTATTAACCCAATATAATAATGAGGCCCCAAAAACGGTAATTTCCCAAAATTTACAGCTATTATATGGTAGAGCCAGGACTCAAACCCAGACAGTAGGAGTCAGTCCAGACTGTAAACTTCTGTGCTGTACTGCCTCTCCACAGAGTCTACCTTGAGGCCTGACTCCCTCTATCCTCACTGTTTTTCATTGTTCTTCTCAATTCTTTCAGCCCTTTCATAAGGGTTTTTTTTTTTTAGAGACTGCCTCACTCTGTCACCCAGGGTGGAGTGCAGCAGCCTGATTATAGTTCAATGGAATCTTGAATTCCTGGGCTCAAGCAATCCTCCTGCCTCAGCCTCCCGAGTAACTGGGACTACAGGCATGCACCACCATGTCCAGCTAATTTTTTTGGTTTTTGTAGAAATAACATTGCCCAGGCTTCATTAGAGATTCTAATGCTAACCATCCCCATTATTACCCAGCCTCGATACTATCTGTGTCTGTTGTGGAACATGGAAAAACAGTTAGAAACTTCCTATTCTCACATTTGAGAAGTAGCAGCATAACCAACTGCAACACTGTCACTGAAGGTCAGAGCAGAGCTATTACTCCCACAATCCTAAGAGAGAAAAAAAATCTTACCAGGGCCAAAAAGAAATAAAGAAAACTCCAGAGAGCAATTAAAGCAGAGATTATGTCTTAGATTGCTGAGAACTCACCTGTTCAGCTCAGGTATCACCCATTCCCAAGTCACCAATATCAAGGTCAACGAACTAATCCAGAGACCATCTCAATGAAACCTTAATTCTTTGCGTTATACAAAGAATATCTTAACTGTTTTGACAATCCAAAAACGGGAAAAAGACATTCTGTGACTCAAAAAATGAAAATATTTTCGGGGAAACAAAGAATAACTATGATTACAGAGTATATCTGATACGACTAAGAGTGAGGTATAGGACAAAAATATAGGCTTTGACTCACAGAAATTTGGGTTCTGGCTCCACCATTCATTAGCTCTGTGACCTTGGACAAGTGACTTGAACTTTCTGAGCCTCAGTTTTAATATCGTTAAAGTTAAGATAAATACTATCTCATAAGATAAAGCATTTAACATAATGCCTGACTTAATGGGTATTGAAATTTATTTATTCAACAATATTCATACAAAAAATAAGGGAGAGCACACTTTCACTTGTACTGAAGGCTGTGCCTCCCCAGTATATAAATAAGTAAGAAGGCATTCTTCATCAGAGAAAGCACCAAAGCTGACCTTAAATCTCAGGAAAGTGGATGGATTAGTAGTACAAGAGTGAAGACATATGGAAGGTTTAAATTATATCTTAAAAAAATGATTTCCACCCAATGACACATATTAAGAATATCTGATGCCTACAGAGATATATGTCTTTCTTGTTGGCAAGAAAATATTTTTCTAAGGATGATTCTCAATAAAAATGACTCTGAGGTCTCCTTTAAAATAAGCTTCCATAACTATGAAATATGTACAAAGTTATTAACTGCAACATTATTTATGAGAACAAAAAATAAAAAACAATACACATGTCCACCAACAAGGATCTGATTGAAAAACCACGGTACATCTACCCAGCGAAAATTATACAACTGTATAAAGTATGAAGACATCAAAACAACCTGTAGAATAATCTATATGGTATGCTATCTTTGGGTAAAGATAGTGTATATAATATGCTGCCTTTCACGTAAGAGAGACTGAGTATGTGCACATACTTTACTTGTTGTTTTCAAAAAGAAACAGTGGAAAGATTAATCAGTAACTAATGAAAATGGTTACCTACGAAGGTAAGGAGCAAAGTGGGTGGCAGGGCTAGAGGTGAAAGTGAGCCAAAATGCTTTACATATTTTAAAAATAAAATTAAATTGCAAATGAAAAAAATTACATGTAAGTCTAAGAAACAAAATGTAGCAACAGCTGTACAAAATAATTATACCACCAACTATCCATATTTATTGACTATCTATTCTTTTCAAAATAACCTGCCTATGCTAACATGGAAGACAGTCAAGTAACAAGAAAGATAAGAAAGAGCAGGACTAAGGCCCCTCTTCATGCCAAAGGAAGCTAAAACAAAAATGGCAGGACCAAAGGTAAGTCTACCTAAACTCTAGCCATGCGATATTTAAACAGGTTGCAAGGTGGCTTCATTTCAGAACTCTCGTATGAAATCTAATCAGCATATTGTCTTCCTCAAAGTCTGAGACCAGGGAAACAAAGGTTTCCATGATTGTTCTTATGCCTGACTGTATGAGCACAACACATAGTTCATGTCTTAGCGGAAGGCAACTACAACATTACATTGTAACTTCTAATTCCCACGTTTGCCTCTGTCCTCTCCTCTGTCATTGCAGGGATCCTCGAAATGAGAGTAATGTAAGTTACCCATCTGTATGTTTGACCACAGCACCTGGCATACAGTGGGCACCCATCGTATCTCTTCCATGAATACTGAATAAATAAATGTTATAAACAGATAGTCCCCAAGAAGACTTTCTGGTCATAAATATCTTTCTACTGAAGCCAAAATTTCACTATCAAAGGTTAATTTCTTTGGATCTGTCTTCCAAAGTCTTTAACAAAATAGATAACACTGAGAGCCGTTAATGTTTTCTCAACTGCTATGACCTAACACAAAAGAAGAATAAAAGAAAATGGTTCAAAATTGAAGGAAAACATTAGAAAGGAAAGAAATAGCGAGAGAGGAGAAGTGGAAAAGTAAAGGAAATGAGAAGTAAAGATAAGATGGGAAAACAGGCAAAGAAATATCAGACTTCTCCCTGGAATCTCTCATCACTGTCTCCTCTCATGGCTAAATTTTGGACATTTCCAAATGTATTCACATCTAACATGCTTCTTCTTATAAATGAAAAGGATGAAGTATAATTTTCCCAAACTGCTCAACAATGGTTGAAAAGTTCCCTTTTGATCTCTTCTTAGGAACCAAAAGAAGAGGAAAACACTGTAAATATATAACCTTTCAGAAACTAAAAAAGCAACATCATTAGAAAGACTTTAGACATATGAAAACTCTCTGACTTATGTGAATTTTCAAGGTTTTGGGTGATAAGAAAACCAGTGAGTATGACTGCAAGGGCTTTACAAGTCTATTTGAAATAAAACATTAGTAAAATAAAATTCCACTTTTGTATAAAGCCTAAGAGAAATCAAAGTTTTAAGGAAAGCAAATGACTAATGAAAACCACTTTAATAACTCAAAAAAATTGTTCTGCCTTTAGGGACCTTAGAAGGGTGGGGAACCTGCGGCCCCAAGTCCACATGTAGTTCTACAGATCCCCAAGTGCAGCCCCTTTATTAAATCCTTTATTAAAAGGATTTGTTCTGTAAAATTTGGATTCAGTCTAAACGCTGCACTCAAGGATCCAGAAGGCCACATGTGGCCCCAAGGCCACAGGCTCCCCACCCCTTCAGGTAACAGATGGTAGGAGCTACCTGAGTGATTACAAAAGAGTTAAAACTTGATTCAGAATATGAAAAGAGAGAAACAGGATGCTAGAGGACATTCTAGAAGAATATTTTGGGTGAATAGGGGCTCAAAAAGTAGAATGATATGTGCACATAGTATCAGAATCTTTACCATGACTTCTCCCACCTCCACCCCATCATCTGATGACACAGATCAATATAATTTGTGAAGAATGCTATTCCTCTATAACGTGACAGCATCAATCCATCTGAATAAAGAACATGTTCTATCCTATGCTACTCTAAAGTGCTTCCTTCTTGGGATTCTGATATAAAGCTGAATCTTTATGAATAAAATACTTAAGTCCTTAAAAGAATTTTTCTTAATAGCCCTAATAGTCTCTGACTACAGAAACAAAATTTTTAAAATGATACCTCTGATCCTCAGAGCTAATACTTGTGAAACTAAGAACAAGATATTTAAAATTATTCTAATCAATTTCAGTTTTCATTCTATAAAGAAACATTTCTGACCATTAAACTGATGAAGTTAGATAGACTTCCCAAAATCAGCTTTATTGAGGTACCATTTACATACAAGAAAATTCTCCCATTTCAATGGTACAGTTCAATGAGTTATGACAAATATATATAGTCATCTAACCACCATCACAAGACCAAGTAATTTTTAATCTTCTCTATAACTCCAAAATGCTATGAATCAGAAAAACTGATTTCATTTATAGGCTTTGAGTTTCTGAAGTGTTACCTTTTAAAGTTTTGGAAATTATAATGCAGTGTTCTAAAAACATACTACGTAACTACCATCATTCGTTTTATATAATAATTAGAAATTTAAGGACAACATTAAAGTATGAAAGTCTTAAACATATACTTACCTACTCTTTTTTCTAAGAGGTTTCCTTGTTGGGCCAACTTGATTGCATGTATATAGCCAAAAGAAGCATCATACCCAAGCATTTCACAATATATAAGTCTCACCATACATTCCTTCATCATTTTCTGAAAAGTAAAATATCTAGTAACTATATAAATAAATATAATGTTTTGATATTTTTATTATGTTCTAATCACTTAAAAGGAATTCTTTAAGCCCAGCACTGAAGAGATAATGTATATATTATAATACTATCAATAACTAATTACTCAATATCAGACTTTATAAATAAAAGTTGCTCCCAATCTTCATTGCCAACTGTATCAAGGTTAATAAAATTATTTCGCTATTTTGTTAGTGGCAATACTATAAATCAACTGTAGCTACTTCTAATTTTATGTGTCCCTAATGTAAAATTTGGTTATAATGTGATTCATATGGTCCTCAGACAAAATTTCATCCACAGCAATCTTACTTGGCTTCTAAAATGCAGCACATCATTTCAATATACTTTGCAAATGAAAACATCCATAACATTCTCACAAGTTGGTAATAATTTCTATTAAAAAAATATTTTTCACATTTAAAAATCAAATTGCACCTGGACTTTCTTCAGAATTATTATGCTATATGCAATACAGAATAGTTTATTTTTATAGGCACTTTTTTTAATAACTCTTATGATTATTATGAACTAAGAAGCATGTTTTCATTAATGGTGTAGCCATTCCAATAATATTTAACATTTTAATGGGGTCTTTCAATATTTGCAATGCAAGCTAAAAATTTTGAAGAGATTCTATAAATTTGTTTTATCAGTATGATAATATTTGCTTTCTCAATACTTATAGCAACAGAGTGAGACCCTGTCTCTTCAAAAAAAAGGATATTTATAGCAAATTTTAATCAGAAATAAAAATATAAATAAAATGCATTTCAAAATAAAGAAAAGGCTATTTTAACATTTAAATATTAATTAGGGTTAGCATATTACGGGATTATTAAATCACAACATGCTTAAGAAACAGTAAAATAAAATACTTCAAGGATAATAATGTTTAATATTTTATGTATGTGTGTAAATACGAAGAGTTTAAAGAGAAACCACAGGAAAATCTTAGAGGAATGAGATTTAATTCAGGTCACTTATGCTTAGAACAATAAAAGTTAATTCATTAACACATCAATTAAGACTACCAAATGCGGAGAAAACAAACTTAAAAGATACTAGAAGACTTCTACATTAATCAGAAGTGAAAGTGTTAACTTAAGTCATTATGTTTCAATGCTAGATTTGTAACATCTTATCTCAGAGTTACTCAAAGTCATTATGGACTTTATTTAAGTAAAATTATACTGTATACATTATCATTCTCTTATTTTTAGAGAAGAAAATGCATTCCCCAATGGAGAAATTGTCTTTACAATTTCTCTAACAAACTGTCATCCATGTCCATGTAGAGACATGATCATCTCAGGGACAGACTACTCTGTAGTTGTAGAGTTGAATGGCCATAATTATTATAAACTCTTCCTTTCAAACTCTGGCTTCCTAACTTATATCTATTTATCTTAGTTCTGCCAAAACCAGATTTATGCCATGTAGCAACAAAAACTGTACATAGTGATGCCAATAACAGAAAATAGAAATCTAACAAAGTAAAAAAAGAGAAACTATTTCTGCTTAATGTTTCTATCAAGTATTATGAAGCACAATGATTTTACACGTAGACACACACATCTAGACATACAAACATTCACATACATATACACACAGATAGATTAACTATGTATGTTTTGAGTTTTATTTGCTCACATATTATTATTATAACCATAAAAAGAAATATTTACATTCTCTAAGGCTTTACAAGTATTATTTATGTTCACACTCATGTAGTCTGGCAAAATTGATCACCCTGATATTTTTACTGAGCAGGAGGGAAACCATTCCCACAGTGGCTTACACACAAAAGGCACTCACCAAATATTTGCTGAACAAATGTTGCTTGAAAAAATCTCATTAAAAAAAAAAAAAAATGGGTCTTAATCTACCTATGTTGGGATAGCCCCACAGTTGCCTGCCTATAGTGGTCACTCATTAAACAGTTGCTGGGCTGGGCGTGGTGGCTCACGCCTGTAATCCTAGCACTCTGGGAGGCCGAGGCGGGCAGATTGTTTGAGCTCAGGAGTTCGAGACCAGCCTGAGCAAGAGCGAGACCCCGTCTCTACTAAAAATACAAAGAAATTAATTGGACAACTAAAAATATATAGAAAAAATTAGCCGGGCATGTTGGTGCATGCCTGTAGTCCCAGCTACTTGGGAGGCTGAGGCGGAAGGATCGCTTGAGCCCAGCAGTTTGAGGTTGCTGTGAGCTAGGCTGACGCCACAGCACTCTAGCCCGGGCAACACAGTGAGACTCTGTCTCAAAAAAAAAAGAAAAAAAAAGTCGCTGAATAAATACTGTTTGAAAAATCAAATTATATGGAACCAAGTTGTAAAACAACTGGGTCTTAATGAAGCTGCTGTGCGATATATTCACTTTCTCAGCAAGAACACAATTATTCTACCTTTTCAATCAACCTATATTCCCAAAGATATAATAGTAAAACTAGAGATCTACAATGTATCAATTCAGATCTGAAAATATTATGTTAAATGATATATCCCAACTTTTTTCAAGTGCACAACATTAAAACAGTAAGATCAACACTGGAGTCCCAGGAATATCATCACATTTATGTAATTATCATCACATTGGCCCTGACTTGACACAGTCAGGCAAGTCTTGTTCTGGTACAACCAGTCAATAATAAAAAGCCGAAGTTAATGTTTGGCTTGCTATGATCCATAACTCATATTGACTATGATAAATTAAATGTTAGCAACTGATTAGATAAACCAAATTTCAAATTCAAAATATGTTGGCACTGACTATGCAAACTTACCAGTGTTGTAGTAGGAGCAGAAACAGTCGCTTTCAGACTACTTAATTCCTGCTGGATTAATTTCTCTTCTTCCTGAAAAAGTGAAAATATTTAAATGCTTTAATAACTGTCTTTTAAAACTGTAACAGTATTTTTTAAAGGAAAAAAATATAATTTAAAATATTTTCAGCCAGGCACGATGGCTCACACCTGCAATCCCAGCACTTTGAGAGGCCAAGGAAGGATAATCTCTTAAGGCCAGGAGTTCAAGACCAGCCTGAGCAACACAGCGAGAACCTGCCTCTACAAAAAAAATTTTTTGAAAAAATTAGCCAGGCACATTGGTGTGTGCGCCTGTAGTCCCAGCTACTCGGGAGGCTGCGGGAGGAGGATCGCTTGAACCCGTAAGTTCAAGGCTGCAGTGAGCGATCGATGATTGATTGTGCCACTGCACTCCAGCCTGGGTGACAGAGTGAGATCCTGTCATTCATTCATTCATTTTCATACATAAATAAATAAAATACTTTCAACACAAAAGGAAGATTATTTTAAAGGAGAGAAAAAGATTAAGTGCTTGAGATCTACATAAAGGCATTTTTCTAACTAACCCTCTGAATTATCCCTGGGGAGAACATTTCCAGGCTAATCCACCAACCCTCCTTTCTTTAGTCAGTCACTGTCCCCTTAATGGTAGAATGGCAGAAAATGATTTTTTAAAATTAAAGGGAGAGGAAAAAAAACAAAAAACTAAAGGGAGAGAGAGGGTAGAAAGAAATTCTCCATATATTGGCCCAGGATAAGAGTCTCACTTCTTCCTTATAAAGTAAAAAGTCTTCATGGAATAGAGAAATAGGGTAAGAATGCAGAAACAGAAATAAGTCTTCTTCCTTGAACTATTCTTCTTCCCTATCCTTTCCTCATTCCCCACATTCTTTCCCTCACTTCCTATCTCACACACACACCCCAATGTGGTCACTTCTACTGTCTGCATTGTATTGTACCTCCTTAAGCACTTAAATATTGGCCCCATTTTTGGCTAATGTAAAGCTATCTTTAAGTTACACACTGAATTAGGAGGTTTGATTAGGTGAAGTACTGCCATATCTGGATGCCTATCTACAGTTACAAACTGCGATTTAAAACCAAAACTAAATTTTTTAAAAATTATATTCAGCATCTCATAAAAATTTAGCAAAGAAAAAACCTTAAGACAAACAATATTAAGTCCACAAACGATGATTTTGGAATGTGAAGCTGACCCTCTCCAGTATAGCATCACCTTATTTCAGATTTAAAAAAAAAAAATTAAACTTTCTAAGTACTTTTTCTTCTCTGTCTTTTCTTCCCTCTTGGCACTCACATCGCATTACAGTCATGCTTTTTAAATATATTGTTGGTTTTAGCGACGGGGTCTCACTCTGTCACCCAGGCTGGAGTCTAGTGGCGAGATCATAGCTCGCTGCAACCTCTAACTGCAGGGCTCAAGCAATTTTCCTGCCTCCGCCTCCCCAATAGCTGGGACTACAGGCGTGAGCCACGGCACCTGGCTCATCGTCATGCTTTTACTTGCCTTAAACCCAAAATGGATAGTCAGTTCCTTGGGAAAAAGGAATGTGTTCTACTTTATTTTCCTCTGTGTCTAACACGTAACCTTGCTCTATAAATATCTGTTGAATAAATTATGACAATAACACATGCTCTTTTTAAGATTTAAACTCCTTGAAGCTTTAAATCAGTTTCCTACACAATCAGTGCAACGACAAAAAGTCCGCGGGAACTTAATAACTTCTACAACTGCTAATTTTCAAAGCCGATCTGAGGCAAAGACTTACTCAGCAAATTTTACACGTGGGGAGAATTACACTTTTTCTTTGCTCAACCCGTCGGCCTAACCCAGGAACCTCAAGGTCCCCAAAGATAAGTCAACAGAAGGCTCAGATGGCAGGATCTGTTCGGGTCTGTGACAGCTAACAGTTGAAGGGACTCGGGGAGAGAAGGAAGCTGGCAGAGAAAGAAACTTTGTAGAAGGTAAATAATGCCTGACGCCTCCATCACACTGGGTATTTCCACACGCTTGACATCTCATCTAATTCTAAAAACAACCTATGAAACACGTATCGGTACTTTTCCACTTCAACGTTGAGACAATCTGTGGAGGGTCAGAGGCTAAAGAGATCTGCAAGAACAAAATCAGTGTCAGGGCCAACTGTGGAAATCCGGCCTCCCAGCTGTCAGTCCCGGCAGGAAAGTGAAGCTTCCAGACAGACGGAAGGACGGGCCGACACGCAGGCAGCCCTGAGCCCCGCCCGAGGGCCAGCCTGGAGTCTCGCCGCCGGGCCAGGGCCTGCCGGAGCGGGGGCCTCACCCTGACGTCCCTGACCTCCCGGCCCGGCGGGCACCTACGTGCTTGGAGGTGAGCGCGGTGATGCCGCGGACTAGGCTGCCCAGCCGCGAGGAGAAGGACGACTTGGCGGCCGCGGGCCCGCCACCGGGCTGGTTCTGCAGAAAAAGCCCCGGCAGAGCCGTCAGAGTCTTCTCCACTATGTCGCTCATCGCCGCCGCCACCGCCCGCGCTCCGGTCGCCGCCCGGCTTCATGCCCGGCTGTCGCCCGCCCGGCCTCCGTAGGCACTTCCTGTTTTTTGAAGAAGAAATCTTTATTCGCGCCCCACGTGAACAAGCCCTGTGTTGTTCCCGACAGAGGCCGCTGGAGGGCGCAAGAGCCCGCGGGGAAAAAGCCGCTCGCCCCAGCTTGCGCGCAGAAGCTGACCTCTAGTGGACGCGTAGGGATAGCTGACGCTCGCGCTTTTGACAGGAGCCCGGGGATGCCGCGCAACTGTGAGTCCTCCTGAGGAAGCCGCTAGCGGCCCGCCCCTCTTACGCTTCGTCCCCCAGAGTCTCCCTTTCTTGTTCGCCGCCTCCGCGCGGCCCGAGGCCACCTCAGGAGGTGCGTCTTCCCAGCAGCCCCGGCAGCCGGGACGCCCCCGGCAGCCAGCCCTCACCATCCGCGCGCCAGGCGCAGCCCCAGCCCCACGCGCGGCTCTGGCCCTGGCGATTCCGGGCACCCTCGGGGGACTGGATGGCAGCGGGGCTGTCCTGGGGATTCGTCCTGCGGAGTCGAGAACGCACCGCGTACCGGGAACGCGCGGCCACTGTCGCTTCCCGTCCGCCCCTCTTCTGGGACTTGGGAGGCCGCCGGGAAGGAGCGGTGGTCGGCGGCCACCCGTGCCGACCCCTACTCAGCAGGTCACAGTGCAAAGGCCACTTCCCAGAAGCCGACTTCGCCGGCCCGGCAGGCAAGGCGAGGTCTCCCTGTCCCACCCCGCGTCAGCGCCGCGCCCTGGTCCGTGGTACAACAGATCGCACCGGCCACGACGTAAATATTTACCTCCTGATGGCGAGACTGTCTTACAGCTCTTACCCCAGCTTCTACCCAGAAGAGAATCTGATACAGTGATTCTCAAAATGTGGTCTGGTGACCTCTGAGCGTCCTTGAGACCCTTCCGGGAGGGAGATCCACGGAGTCAAAACAGTATTCATAATCGTACTTAACACATCAAGTGCCACGTGAGCTGTATTTAACTCACGCTAGTTTTGAGCTCGGGGCCTCACGGAGCAGAAGTAACTCACATGTCTCTTCACCTTGGGAGCCCGGTGAACTGTTTTTCAAGTTGCATATAACTCACGGACGGAAGACAATAAAAAATAACAAATTTTTCATTAAGTTAGAAAGGATCATTTTGTTTTCGAAGCTTTTATTCTATTTTTGTAATAAAACACTGTAGCCCCAAGGAAAAATTTTGTTTTCCTAGTGTGGCAGTCAATGTGTAAAATGTTATTTGCTGTTTTCACTCTGATTGTCTCCAGAGCGTACAGAGGATTTTGCAAGAGGCTAGACTTTTAGGTACGGTTAGTTGGTGCAATGTATACTTGAGTATTCTTGTGTTTTCTAGAATTGTCTAAGGTTGGAGGTTTAGGGCACAAATATGTGTGTTTTCAGAGAGTAGCTCAGTTTGTCTTCTGTACTCCCAGTGTGTTCTTACAAGCTATCTTCACTTATACCTGCTCTAATGTCGGTAACCCCATTATCCTCTAATAAATAGGTTTTTTTGAAATCTCGAAGTTGTCCTTGTACCCTGTGCAGGAACATAGGAAAATAGTCCACTTTGTTGAATTGTCTTGTAAGAATATTTTTTAATTTATTGGAAACTTTTATCTAAAACTGATATTCTCTTAAAATTTAGTATTTTATCCTAAAATAAAATTGTTTATACTTATTTTTTAATTTTGGGATCTTCCACTGGCTTAAAAAAAGGGAGATTAGAAGATCTTTCTAACCTTCCTACAGCTAAAGATGCTGAAAAAGATGATGCGATATCCGTATCAGAGAATTCTCTGACGCGGAGAAATCTGGGTGAAACTATAAATAGGAAAGGAAAGTATGACAAAAGGTGCTTTTTTCCCCTTGGCTTTAGAGATTTTAATCATTTATCTTATTTTGTCTTATTCAACAGAACATTTTCAAATCCTGTCATGGTGCCGGTTAAATTGAGGCTTCATTTTGAGACCAGTCAGTCAGAATTTAAAAGAAAGGGGAATTGAATGTTTTAAACACAGACATGATGCACTTTATGAAAACCAAAATTTTCAAAGTAGAAATGAAAAACTCACTGAAGCATCTCAGAGGTTAAATTATTGTATTGGCTGGAGAAGGACATGAAATAGCTGAAAGACTAATAAAGCCTTGTACATTACCAAATGAATACCTGCTAGATGAAAAATTAGTAAAAGAAATCACAGAAGTGCTACATTTCAAAGATACAGTAACTCACCAAATTAGAAATTTAGTGGAAAATGTAAAGACTGAGTTAATATCTCATCTGCAGAATTATAATTCCTTTTAAATGGTGATAATTGTAGCTGTAACTAAATTTGTTGCTTTATTTGTATCCGTCCAGTGTCAGCACCAACTAATGCTTAAAGATCCTATTTTATATAAATCTTGGCAGCAAACATACGTTGTGCTGAAAATAATGTGTTGAACAACTTCTTTGAATCTCATAGTTTTTCCTGAAACAATACACTCGCATTGTTTTAAAAAGCCAATTTCACTTAAGAATTTCTTTGATGAAGCAGGAAGAATTTTTAATTTTATTTCTCAGCCCTTGAGTACATGTTTTAAAAAAAAATAATTTTTGAGACAAAAAGGCAAGTACTCATAAAGCATAAACTCATAAAGCATGATGTATATATAACCCAGATAAGATGGTTTCTCAAGGAAAAGCACTTGTGCATTTGTTTGACTTGAAAGCTAAACTAGCCACTTTTTTTCATGGAGCACCATTTTTAGTTGAAAGAATGATTAACAAACATTGTTTTCTTGAAAATGAACAGAGAGTCTGTTACTTACAGGAAAAGAAAAAATCTTTTTCCTTCTACCTTTCCAATTTCTCAGGTGGGGACCCTGTGAAAAAAGGACAGATTAACAAGAGAAAAGCAAGTTTATCGACATGTGTATGGCCCATGTAACACATGACAGTACCTAGAAATGAGTAACTCAAAGAACTTAGAACTCTGGCTTGCATCTTTAACAAAGAACAATAAATGTATAAAGAAATGATAGAACAAAGGAAAGCAGTTGTAGACTTCCAGCAGTGGGAAACTTGGGGAAGGTAAACATATGGAAGGAAACTAATGGGGTAAGATTTGTTTGCAGATTCATCTGGTGCCATCTCTGGGCTGATAAGAGGCTAGAGTTGTCTCTAGTAAAGGAGAATTTATATCCTACCTTTAGACAGAAAAAGGGGAGGGTAGAGAGAGCTTTTTCCTGCCATTGCTGCTGCTTAGTTAACTTCAGCTCACAATAATCTTTACGTCAAAGAGGAATATTTTGGAGCGACATAGTCTGATTTCCTTCACACTTCAAGGAAAATAACTAATGATATTTGTCGCCACTGATGAATTCAGAGCTTTCAAGTAGAAAAATGTTTCTCTCCCTTGAGTTTGATAATTTCCCAATATGTAAGGAGGGTTGTGATAAGACTGGTGATGATATTAACGAGTGTTATTTTTTAAATTGTATAATTAAATGTGTCAGCATTTGGAAGATCTACATAATTCCTTGAACCAATATTTTCCAAATGATCAATGCATGATATTATGTCTTATATGGGCAAAACATCCATTTAAAGCACATAGAACAATGATTTTAACATAACCTATTACACAAAGTACACTGATGGTTTCAGATTCCACATTGCAACAAACCTTTAAGAAACTACCTCTTGTTGGGCTTTAGTGTTGGGTCAGAGAAGAATATCCACAATTATTTGAAAGGCTATTTAAATGCTCCTTTTTTTCCCCAACTACATATCGGTGTGTGACCAGGTTTTCTTCAGAAACTTCAACAAAAAAATAACGACTGATAATGGCTCCCAAAGATGTCCATGTCTTAATCTCTGGAATTTGTGAATGTGACCTTATATGGTATACCTTGTATACCTCTTCTTTTGCAGCGGTCATCAAGTTTAAGGATCTTCAGATAAGGAAAAAATCCTAGATTATCTAGGTGGCAAGTGTCCTGAAGGGAGAGGCAGAGGGAGGTTAGCCGCCATAAACGGAAGAGAAGTTGATGTGAAAATGAAGGCAGCCATTGGAGTAATAGGGCCAAAAGTCAAGCAATGCCAGCCTAACCCCTCCCAGCCCACCCCCTCTGGAAAAAAAAAAAAAGCAATGCCAGCAGCCACCAGAAGCTGGAAGAAGCAAGGAACAAATTTTTCTCTAAAGCCTGCAGAGGGAAGACTTTCCTGCCTACACCTTGATTTTGGCCCAGTAAAACTGATGTTGAATTTCTGGCCCCCAGAATTATGAGATAATAAATTTCTGGTGTTTTGAGTCAGTAGGTTTGTGATAATTTGTTACAGCAGCCACAGGAAACTAATACAAACCCCAATGCAACAGATTAAATGCAGAACCAGACATGAGAACCCAGCTGTCTTATGTTAAGCCAGACAATAAAGAGTCTTGAAAAATTATAAAAAAATTGCCACCATTCTCACTGACTATTTTGGGTTTGAATACACAGCTGGCCCTCCATATCCACGTGACCCTCATCCCTGGATAAAAATCCATTGCAGAGGAAAAATCTTCGGATAAGGAGGATAGACTAAGGAACTTGAGCATCTGCCAATTTTGATATCCACGGGGATCCTACAACCACTCCCTATAGATACAGAGGACTGATTGTATAATTCTTTTTCATTTAAAAATAAAAAAAAGTCAACATGTAATGGGTTTATTGTGATTTTTAAATGAATTAACATCTTGAAATTGTCCCAGTTTTACCTTCTAATCCAATAAAGTAAAACTGGGAAAATTTTAAGATGTTAATTCACATAAGCAAAAGCTTTTGAGAGTCCTCAATAATTTTTAAGTATGCTGAGGGTTCCTGAGACCCAAAACTTTGAAAACTGCTTACCTAGTACATAGTATGTAGTCAATTGTTTGTTGAGGTAATTATTATATTTCTCATTCAATCACTTCAATTAATATATGA